CCACTTAGTCAATGTACGTGGTGCAGGCAAACATATTCCAAAAGTTTTACGTAAATAGCGATAGGCTTTTGGTGAGTAATAGTTACGTGTTACGGAAAAGTATTTCTTGCAAAATCGTGAAGCCTGTTTATGCTATTATTTTTTTATGTCAAAGCATTTTTTCATTTTAATTTTCCTTTGCCTAAGTATTGGCTCGTATTCGCAGTAGGAGTAGAACTAGTTCAGGCTATATAAGGAATTTTTTCGAATTGTGACTTTCGAGATAACTTACGGATTTTTTCCGGAACATCCAGCTTTCTTTTTTCGATATATACGATATTGTGCAATCATCACGATCACCCTAAAATAAATAACAAACCAATAATAGAAAAATTTACTATTTTTTGTAATACTTATAAAATCTAAATAAAAACTACAAACCGGTTTGGCAGACAAACCCGCATGGTTAATTTACTTATCGATAGCTAAAGTCGTGGCGTTCATCACTATAGTGCAATACTTTCGGTTGCAGTGATATCAGTTTATTTTTATAAAAATTGCACACTTTTCCTGCGAGGTAGCAAGTTTCGATTTGACTTATTTGGCCTGTATTTTGTAAATTATTTTAATAAATACTAGTTGTCGATTATATAATAATTATTCAGTATCGTGTTGAAATTGAGCTGAATATATAAATCATTTAACAAAATCCATTACACATCTATATGTAATGATTATTATTTATCACAAACTGATTTAGTTATTAGGAAATATATTTTATATATTTTTATATTTTTATATATATAGGATATATATATATATATATATATATAAAACTTGTGTAGTAAATTATATTTATTTAAAAATAGATTATTTTTAACTTTATGAACTATGATGTCCACACTCGGTATTGCAGGAAAATATTCAGAAAGTACGAGTTTTAATGATAATATTACCTTAATATTATGTTGAAAGTACTCACAGATGACAAGTGACGTTGTTCTTTTGTATATAAGACGTTTTTGATTGTTTTTTGTTTCGTGTAAATACACTGCAATTCGGCATTTTATCGTAGCTCGATTTACTGGCACGATCACTTCGGAATAGCGCACGACTTTTTTTTTTGCGCCCGAAGCAATTAAAGGGCTACCCTATACGTAGGGAGGCGGAAAATGCATTACGCATACCACGATAGCCGGTCTAATCGTGGTTATGAGGGGCTCACTGTCCTACCGGGGGACCCTAAGTGATTCCCTCTAAAAACCGCCTTTGGGGACAGGCAGCCGGCTGATTAAGCTGTATTGTGCCTTATCATGAGCGACCCTCTTTTGGGAAAAGAGGGCGCAGGCAGCTAAGAGCCGCTGAGGGAGTGCCTACGAAGGCAAATTAATGTTAGTTATTACAATAATTTAATTTAATTAGAGTTGGCCTGAGCCGCCAGGAGACAGTTCAGGTCGTTTGACAGTTTATTAGGCGGGTCCGGGAGAGAGTTTCTCGGCCTGCGGACACGATAGCGAGAGGGGGGTGGGGCTGCATAAGAAGCTGCCTCACGAATTAATTGGTTTGGGTGCGACTCTGAGGCTTTGAGGAAGTTCTCAGAGAGTTTTTTAAGAAATTGTTGAATTGTTGGGAGCTCTAAGTCCCGATGAAGGTCGGCATTACGGACGTACCAAGGTGCGTTCGCAGCTCGACGACAGAAGAGGTTCTAAACTATTTGGAGTTCATTTATGATATTAGGGTTTGCGTGGGCAAAGACGGGGCCCGCGTAGGACATGACTGGTCGTATACAGACCTTGTAAAGGGTACGCTTGTTTCGAAGGGACATTTTACTGTGTCGGCCCAACATACTGTTGAGCCTACTCAGATAAAACCGTGCGTGACGGGTTACTCTTTTGACGTGGGGCCTGAAAGTGAGCCCTGTGTCTAGAGTGACACCTAAATATTTGGCGGACGTATGCCAGGGGACAGGGGTCCCTAGCATACGTATTGGTGGAGTGTTTTTGAGACGGCGTCGTTTATAATCGAAGTGAACGGCGGAGCTCTTCTCCGGGTTCACATCGATGCGCCATTTTTTGAACCAAGCTCCTAGGTCATCAACTGACTTTTGGATCTTGTTCCGTATGAGGGGTTAGTGAGACACCTTTACAGTAGATGGCAGTGTCGTCTGCGAAGAGGGAGAGTTGATCACCTTTCGACGGGATGGGAATGTCGTTGGTGAACAGGATATACAGCAGAGGAGCAAGTACTGAGCCCTGAGGGACACCAGCCTTGATAGTTCGCTGTGAAGATAGCGTACCTTCGTGTCTAAAACGAAAGGTACGATGTTTTAAATAGGAGGCCACGAGACGAACTAGACGATCGGGGAGACCTATTTTGTAGAGCTTGTAGATGAGGCCTGTGTGCCAGACTCTATCGAAAGCTTTAGCTATATCGAAAAAGATCGCAATGGTCTTATGACGACGAGGATAGAAACCGCTGAGGATATATTCCACAATGCGGTGAACTTGTTGGGGACATGAGTGTTTGGCTCGGAAACCGAAATGATGGGGAATGATAAGAGGGTCGCCGTCTGTGGGAAACATATAGCGCCTCATACGCGTTTGAAGCGCACGACGCGGAGTAACTAGTTTTATATAACGGGTATGAGTTGAACTCTCTTACCCTTTACACAGGGGTATGCCTTGCGATGCCGTCTTCTTTGGTTTAATACTCAAAGGACCACCTGAAAAGCATCAGCTTTTAAATAAAAAAAGAATCAACAAAATTGGTTTTACCTTGAAAAAAGTTTTGAGGTAACCACACATAAAAATACAGTCGAAAAGAGAACATACTCTGTTTTTAAGTAGATTGAAAAATAAAATACATTTCTTTTAAATCGATTTTTAAAATAGCGCCATATATTGACTAGTATAACTAGCCCAGTATAACTAGTGTAGCCAAGCTGTGAGTTACAAAATAATTCGATAAACAAAACTGGTACATTCGAAATTTGAACCCGTTTTATTTAGAAATTAAAGTCTTTTATAGAACGAGCTGGAAGCGAAATTATGACGTGCATTTATTTGCCTCCGCGACAGTATTCGACGAACTTATTATTCGCAATTCGAATACCAATTCTCAACGGGCTGACTGACAGCATTATTTGTAAAATTGTATTTGCCTACAGGTATAGGCTTATCTATTTTTTAAATTAAATTCAAATGGTCAATATTTAATAAATAGTGAATTTTGTTTTAACTAGCTGCATGCTTAATTTAAAAATCTATTTAAAAATTGTAAGTAATTAATAAATAGTACGTTGTCCTTCATTTGTTCGTAGGCCTCGCTCAAAAAATTCCCTTGGAGGGAAAGGGAATCCGCAGTTTTTGTTTCAAAATTTTGAATGGTTATGAGGAAATGATGCTGCCTATCTCATGAATCAGTATCCCTTTATCGTTTCTTACGAATCGCACGGGGTGATATTATAGGGTAGTGGATTATCTTACGATGCCACTACATGTCTACAAAAATGTTATTAAAGTAACCACGGGTTTCTTACTAACATAATATAACAATATATATATATATATATATATATATATATATATATATATATATATATATATATATATATAAACAATATATATATATATATATATATATATATATATATATATATATATATATATATATATACTTTTAATTTAATATAATTCCAATTTCTGCAAATTTTACCGGATATATTTCTGGAAACTTTATATTTTTTCTAACTAGCAATCTTATAATATTTTCTGGTGAATCTTACATTAATTGCTTTTTTAGAGCCACTTTGCAGCTTTATTATGGTTGCAGTACGAGTGGGTCAACTCGACCTGGTAAGGATAACATTCTCACCAAATATCAGTGTAAACAGTAGCTTCATGCTGTTGTGTTTCGTATGGTGAAAGTAGATGAACGAAGAATCTTTTACTTAGACCTCATGGATTACAGTGCACTTACGAGTCGAGGATAGATTTATGGTCCACGTCATCTACCTACTTAGTGTTTGTCTATAAAAAAGGTTTGCTCTGGGTTACAATATCGTGTCAGATGCTATATCCATTCTCTATAAATATTGTTTTAGCATCGTCTACTTTATTAGCACAGTTATTCTCAAATATAATGACGTAAAAAGGCTTCAGAGAGAAGATAACCTAGATTTAATTGAGGCCATGAGAACTATAATGGCCTAAGTTTTTTTTTAAATAGAGTTTTTACCTATAACGCATTACTAGCAGAGCGTTTCAAAATAAAAAAAAAACATAATAGCCTATGTTAAATTTTCCCAGTCATTAACAGATGCCAGCATAGAACTATATTGAATTTCTGACAACTAGGTCCGAAAATGGCATAGTAGCCTAACTGTATAGACCAGTATGGTTCTGGAAATATTACGAATCTTTGAAATATTCATTCAAATAGGTCATCTGTCAAATTACGCGCGTAAGCTGTAAGATTTCTTAAAAGTCTTGAACGTTTGGTGTAAAAGTCCAAAAAAAAAATGAATATTTCTTTAGAAGACGAAAACCCAATATAAATCAAATTGGTATTTGTAGGTAAACAATTTGCTACGGAAAATCAAAATGTTACAGTCCTTGTATTCATTCGACTTGATGAAGACTGCCTACACCAGTTCCAGCACCATGAGTGCTGGAACGGTGTGGCATCTCGCGGGGGACTGCGGGGACTGACCTGATTTATGAACAAAAGCACCCTAAACGTTGGGAATTAAAAATCATTTAAAATTAAACGTCATAAAATCCGTAAAAGTAGTTTTAATCAATGTGTAGTGGCGAACCACTTTAAGAATCACCACCTCTACCGTAACTCTCTCTACCGTAAGACTCGCGTAAATATAAGAAATCATTATGTCTTCGTCTAGTAGTTCACTAAAAGAAGTCAATAATGGTGAAGTCTATTAATATCACCGTGGACATCTTTGTTAAATTGATTATGCACCGCCTATATATAAAATATGCCTATATATTATGTTAGAGGGGTACTTACGTCCGCTTCTTGCCAAGATAATTAGAAACTCTATTGAACTCTATTGTACCTTTGGGAACCATGAGTGTGATCAGTTTTTGATCGTGTATAACGCTTCCAAGTTTCTCTGAAATATGAACATATTAATATAATATTATATTAATATGTTCATATTTCAGAGAAGCTTGTAAGCGTTTATTAATATGTAATATGCGATATTAATACAATATTCTTGTTTAGTATTACAAAAAAGTTATTGAATAGGTAAAGTAAAAAGTAAATTTATAGCTCATTTCGATACCTCCAATTTACACTACGCCAACTCGGATTTTGTAGGTTTACAGGAGAAGCTCTTAAAGAAAAAACATTGATAACTTTTTTATTATCACACCTTTATTAATGATATTTTCAGGATGAATAAATAATTTGCTGCTACTTCTAACTGCATAACTGGGTTTTAATTATTTTTAAAAATTTTAAAATTAGCTCTAGTTAGCGGAGTTTAAGACGGAAAAATGTCATTTGAGATTCCTTTACACTCCGCCAACTCACAGTTAGCGTAGTAAAATATGAGAGAACTCTCAAAATCTTAATCAAACCCATACTAGAATACTATTACGTATTAATTTTAAAGTACATCCAATAATAGAATTATTTTTGTGCTTCAACTAACATATCTTGATAAAATGTCCTATTATTTTTAAATTTAAAAAGTTAGCGTTTTGTAATCGGGAAAGTAATAAAATCAACTACCGTTTTACATGCCGCTAACGCATACATAGCGTAAAATAACACGAGCAGTGTTAACAGTTAGCGTTTTGTTTGACACGAAATATGAATAAAATCGTATGTTTTTCCAATATTTTATATTAAAATTTACAAAATTGGTCAAAACAATATTATTGTTAATAATAATAACATGTTACAAATATACTGAATTATCAAAATTATTTATAATTAATTTCTTTTTTGGTAGTGGGAAATATACCTAGGTTGGAAATGAAAAAAAATGATATTATAGTTTTTATATTAGTAAAATAATATTTTAACCTTATATAATCACTGTATAAACGTAACTGTTTAATAATATAAAGATCAATCAGCACGATTTGTGTGAACTAAACTAACATTTTAATTAATACAAAACGATTAAAACAATCTCAGCTACAGTCAAGATTCCCATAAAATTAACATCAAATTCTTTTATGAAATAGTATACACGTGACTCAAACATTTTAAATTACAATAATCGCTTAAATTATTTAAAGTACTTACGAGATCAATCAGCATGTTTCACTCCATAACTATGAACTTACAAAACAATTATTCTGAATAAAAAAAAAACAGAAATGGTTACGAAATAAGGAAGCAAGACACTGATTCAGATGACATCAATGCTCGTCTTCGCTTCCATCAAGTTCGTGGTCGACCTCTGCCACTGGTAAATTCTTATAAAAATTATGATAGGTATTTTTGAGGTACGATATTATTATCACAGAAATAAACTAAATATTTATATTTAGCCCTATTTATTTTCAATCAATGGGTATGTGCTTTGTCTGGAAAAGGTTCTGAGCGAGATTGTCTCGTAATCTATTTGTTTAAAGCATTGTATCTGCTGACTTTCTACATTACCTAAGCTGTATTTATAACGTAACATTCCTATATTTTCTGGATTAACCCCGATCTCTTTAACTTTATTCCAAGAAACCTTATCATTAGAAACACTTTTTGTCCAATTTTTTTTTGTAAATACCCTTTTTAAAAATCTAAGATCATATTCTACTTTACTTCTACGACATTATACGGCTTATCATTTACTTTTGCCCATCGTACTAAGAATTAACATTCATCTCGCGAATAAATTTCTCTTTCTTTGGCTGATTTTTCGATCAGGGCATGCATCGAATCGCCTTCGTTTTGTGTATGTCCCTTCTCCATGAAGCGATGGTAAATTTTAATTTTCAGATTAATTGCCGCTAACAAGTACATGTAGTAAACTATCCGGTTACGGTTTTGACCCCCCAATTATCTGAACATAGATATATTTCAGTAACTCCCTTTGAAGACAGTTTAGTCAAGAAATCATAAAGACAACTAGAGACTTCATTTGCCCATCTCCTTGCGGTTTGTTCGTCCCACAAGTAACAGAATGCTTCTTTATGCGCTATGTCACACACTGTAAAATTACATACGTTAAGTTTTAGTCTGTAATAATAAATACTAATGTTTCCATGTGGTGCGTTCAGTAGTACTTTCTGAAAATCAAATACAATGCATGCTTTTTTATTATCATTAGTTGCTAGTAATTTATTTTCTAATTTAAGCTTTCGAGAATACTCCTTTTCTTTTTGATTAATTGTATATTTTTCGCTCTGCTCATCAGTATCTTCAGGTATGTTCTTAAATTGATGGCAAAGGTCACACTGATCCTTTTTCGGAACGTTAAATCCTATCTTTATCCTTGTTGGCGGCGTACAGTCGTGCGGTTAGCGGCCGCGCATCCCGAATACACACCGCTAAAACGAGTAGTCGCGGTGTAAGTCGCGTGTTTGTCAAAAGTACATTTACTTGGCGTTATGTAATTTTCAAAACTTTTTTATTTCTTTAAATTTTTTTAAGAAATTTAGGGAGCATAATATGGTTATTTTAATGAGTCATTTTCCATTAAAACCTGAAAATGAGTAAAAATCAGGTTGGCGTAGTGTTTATTGGAGGTATCGATTTACGTACCAAACTTTTGGCATGGGCTTGCTTTCATTTATGAGAAGGTTTTAGAGCAAGGTAGCCACGTAACGCTGTCCCAATGTGAGGGTGTGTTCATAATTATGTCTTCGAATATTTATTTTAATGTCTCAGAAATGTAGATTTCCTCACAATGTTTTCCTTCACCGACGAACACGAGGTAAATCAGCATTTGAAATTCCAATTTACGATTTTATTGGTGCTGGTGGTGATCGAACCCGGCTTACTCGCGTACTGTGAAATTTACAGCGAGCGCTTTGCCTTAGGGAACATAACGGTTTTGCGCCAGTGTCCTACTTCTCGCTTCAGTTCCCAGCATAGTACGTTAAAGATAATATAAAATCGCTTTGTCACCTGTTAATAGTAGCTATTTATTATTATTTACTATCAGAATTGCTACATTCAAAATAAAATCACTACATAATGCAGTATTCCTCCTTTTATAAAAAGCGTCCATAGAATAATACTGGGACTCCAGTCGACATGAAACCGATTATTAATTATGCAGGTTTTAATTACGTACCGATGTCATTGTGTGGAATCTTTGTGTAAAATGTGCAGAATTGACAAGTTTTCATCCCGCTCTAATTAATATTGCACCAATGATTTTACTATATTTCCTAATGGTAAAATGTTTCACATAAAGACGTTATTAGAAAAAAAAATCGGGTTTCTCTCTGAAAATATGATTATAGTAACTGTCTTATGGCCGTTAAATGATATATACATATATAGAGAATTAAAAAAGAAAATGTGCATTTTATGCCGGATGAAAAGTATATCACTATCTGGCCTATCTTTGTGCATAAATCAGATCAATTCGTCGCCGTGTTGCTGCATGAATGGAAAACAAACCAACATAAACAATTTCGCGTTTATAATATTATATTGGGGATGATAGGAAAACAAAAATACAGACCTGTATCCATTAGTTATTGCAGGAGTCTTGTAGTGAACTGTAGAGATGACTTTTCTTAAAGTGGTTTGCCAATACCAATGAAAACAACTCAGTTACTTAAAGGTTAGTAAATAATCGGAACCTATAACACATGTAACTCCAAAAACGAAATGAAAAGACAATAATAAAAGATACAATCAATCATAATATCATCATCATAACAACCCTTCACAAGTCCACTACTAAACATAGGCTTCCCCCATGGAATGCCACAAAGCGCAGTCCTAAGCCACCTGCATCCATCGACGTCTTGTATGTCTTACCAGGTCGTCACTCGATGTAGTAGGGGGACGAACGCCTGGTTACCTATTGTGGAGGGAGGAGCTCTACAAGCAAGTAAGTAGTGTGGCGATGGGATTATCAGCGACCTTGACTATCGCTGACATATTCACGGAAGACTTTGAGGAGAAAACCTTGCTTACTTCTCCCGTTAATCCAAGATTCTACGAGCGGTACTTAGAAGGCACTTTCACAATTATACCTTTAGATAAAGTAACTGCCTTTTTGAACCATATTAACTCCATAAATTCTAAAATTCAGTTTACATTGGATTTAGAGGCAAACAATTCTTTAGCTTTTCTATATGTTTTAGTAATTCGGAATCCTCATAACACTTTGAGCCACACTTTGTATAGAAAAACGACTCGTACAGATAGATATTGAAACGGCGATTCTCACCACCATCCATCACAGTAAGGTACTTTCTTTCAGAGATCATGAGGGATGTGTGACTGTAAACACCCGGCCGCCGAATTTCAACACGTCAAGCAAGTTTTGCATTACAACAAGCTTAGGGTCCCGCGCTTTCGTTACAGTGAACAAGTAAAGCCGGCCACAGTTAAGGCAGCTTAAGTCATAGGTATTACTGACAAGATTGGTAACATCTTGAAGCGTGTTTTCATTAATACTAATTTGAGCTGCTGAAATAAATAGTCAGTTTTAGAATCAGTCTAGTGTAATGTCCCTCTTCAAGATGCAGGAGTGTGTAAGCTTGATTTTGAATGTGGTATCTCCTACATAGGACAACCTAAAATATCAATAAAAACCTGCGTTAAAGTACACATATGTGATGTGAAAAATCGACGCCCTGGGAAATCTGCAGTCTGTGAACACGTTGGGGGTTCGCCCCTTCACCACATCAGATTTGATAGACCACAAGTCCTCGCTAAATAATACCGGTTCCTTCCAAGGATGATTCGCGAGGCTATTGAAGTCAAGAAACATCCTCATTTAAATAAGGAAAATGGCTAAATGCTACCATCTGCTTGCAATCCTGTAATTAATAAAATTAAATCCCAAATCAAGCTTACAACTGAAAGACTTCAAGATATTATAAGTTAAACAAAAATTAATGATTTATTCAGTGATTAACTATGACATTGTGACGTCAAACACCTCAGGATCAGCCAGAATACACGTCGGGAATATAAAATAAGTTAATATATGCGATAAAATCCGTAAAAACTAGTTTCAAAACCAAATGTAGTGTCAATTGGTTGTTTATTCAGCTTAATAAACATTAGTATTCATTACCTCGTGATTGAACTCCAGATTTTATAACTCCACTTTTTGCAAAGTAAATTTGACCGGCAACATTTTGCTGTAGAGTGCAATTAAAAAGTAAATTTATTTCTCGAAAAAGGTCTCGCTAAAACGCATACAAGTTACATGAGTAACATTTTTAAATAGAAGTAAGAGATTATTTTAATAGACATAATGGATATGTGTGGACTTTACACTACCCTTGGTGTTATAAAATAACACAAATTAAAACCAAAACAACAAAGTTATTAGATTTTATGAAATTACAAAAAATTTTGTATTTCTTTTTATATTATATGGCTGTAGCATTTAGATAAGTCACAATCTAAACAATTATATATATATATATATATATATATATATATATATATATATATATATATATATATATATATATATATATATATGTGTGTGTTCAATAAATCAAATTTACGGCTTTTAAAGTGTTTAATTAGCATTATTTTTGAATCCCTTACGTTTTCTTGTATTAATATATCGACAACATCATCAGCATTGAAAGATAACATCGTGAGGTAACCGCCGGGGTAATCTTGACACAGAAAGGCATCGTATAAAGGCTTTAATGTGAAGTGCAGATATTATGTTGGATGTTTACTGCCTTGCTTCAATAATTAACTTTAAAATTTAGTACATTACCTTATTCTGTTGCAGTTTCAAAGATCTTACCTCTTTTTTCTCACGTTTTCCTCCAATCTCATCCTTATCGATACCAGTATTAACCTTTCCAGTCACGAGAGGCATCCACAGTGGCCGAACATAAAATCAAATTAGCACGTATAAACCAAAGGCAGTCCCTTTTACCGCCCTATTTAGTATGCTAGGAAAGTACCATGTTTAAGAGGGACGTGCTTTTGTCTCACGATTGTAATAAATATAAAGTATAAAGAAACAAAATATCATGTGATTGAATTCAAGTTAGATTAAATTTTGTAATATACTAGCGATCTGATCCGGCTTCGCACGTGTTACATTTGGATTCTACAACAGTGCTACCTATCGGGTCTAACTATTCCTCTAAACTTCACGGAGGTGCAAGAATATGTATAGTTTTTTCTACGCATAAAATATGAACAAGAAATATTATTTTTTATATATTTAATTAGATTGGAATATTATGGACACATTTACAAGAAGACGAATTTTCATTGGGATTTAAAAATACCGTCAGCATAATTTTTTTTGGTAGTAACTCTGAACTATTCAAAATAATAAAAAATAGAAAATATTTATATTGTCAATATTAATATCTTACCGCCATTTTGTATATAGATATAATAAAAATAGATATAATTAATTGTTCCGGATGGATGAAAATCCTACGGTGTGTATTAAAATTCTATGAAAATATTCTATAACTTAACAATTTCTCTGACAGTTTAGACATATGGCATTTTGTTTCACGTTTTTAAAAAGTACGACGTTTTATGTTTTTAAAAAGTACACGTAAGACGTCGTCTTACTTATGAATAGGACCTTTATATTTTTATTTAAATTATTATATTCATTACCCAAATAACCGTAAGAACACAAATTCGTGTACGTAAAAATTTGGGAATAATAAAATAAAAAATACCCACTCACTTAATATTTGCCGCTGACAACTTCGATTTGTGCCCGATAACTTCGGCGAAGCAAAAGACTTTTAAATTTAACTCAAATCTTATAAACTCGCTTATATATTTCTAAAAACGAGGTAAGTATTAGGGTCGGTTATAAAAAAAAATAGGGTATACACTTACGACGGGCGGCTGAAAAGTGTTGAGCCTAGGGTATTAAAAATGCTGATAGAAAAGTGTACAAAATTTATTTTTCTATGTAATTTCCCTCTACTTTAATGCAATTCTTACATTTGTGATAAACATCTTGCATGTCGCAAGGCCCATTGTCTTTATCGACATTGTGTTTACCTCTTCTTTGTTTGGAACCACTCGATACACTTTTGTCAACAATGCAGCGTAGTAGTCCTCTTTCATTGTACTGTTCTTCAGGTTGTCAAAGAAAAGAGCCTACTCTTTTTTAAAAGGTTGGCAACTCACTTCCCAACACAACAATTCCCTTGGTATTAAAGTTCTTCATGACGGGGGTTGACACTTACCATCAGGTGAGCAGCATGCGTTTGCTCCTTTTTCTATAAAAAGCCTCCCACCTACAACACATAAACCCTTGTCCAACCGAGGACTAACATAGGCTGATAAATAAAAAGATAGGAATAAAATAAGTGTTTATTTATATTTAACCATAATTATGTTTATTATACCAATATGAGAATTTTATTCAAAATCTTGACCTTGTCGAATTCCATTTACATATTATCAGCTTTCTAGCTGGCCTGGCAGATATTATTCTTCTCTTTCTGTTAGATGAGGCGATGAGGTTCCCTTCGATACATACATATTTCTTAAATTTATTATACGTATAGCTTAAGCAAATTAATGCAGTGAGCCATAAAATATTTTCTGCATGTGCTTCTCTCCGGAGGCTTAACTACTTTTTACCCATTTCCACCAAAACTATGTTGGAACCTTCTTTACTACTCTCTATCCTCGACTAAGCTGACATTTGTAACCTTGATATCACCGAGGAGCAACTTAACAAACTTGAGCGACTCCAAAATTTCTGTATACGGTTCATATTTGGGCTTCGTAAATATAACCATATCTCTGAATACTGCCCTAAACTCAAGTAGCTCTCAACCCATCTTCGCTGAAATGCTCATATACTTTCTGCTCTCTACTGCGTATTATCTAATATATCAAGTCCTCCCTATCTAAAAAAAAAACGTTTAAAATTGCTTAGCTTCTGTCATAATATTTTCTTACTGTCAAAAGAAAGTCTTTTCCTCCAATTTCCAGTGCACTCTTCGACATTTTATTATGAGTCATTTCCCGTTCTTGGAGTTAGACTTTCATACTTTCCTACTTAAATTTATTCCAGAAACAGGTTAAGTACATAAATAGTATTAATTATATACATAATAATAGAAGTACACAAATAGTGTTAATTTGCCTCTCTAACCCTTCTCTTATTTATGGTCATTGATCTACCTAAAGAATGTTATCTTTTTAGTGAATAAGTTAGCAATTTTTTTTATTTTAGTGTACCCTACCTGTTATTCTTTTTCCTTTTTTTATTTAATTATTTTTCTTGATTATTCTGTAAAGGTTGCTATTTCGCAATAAGGCGACCATTTGTTTTACCTCAATTATTTTTGATATTTTGATGTTTTTTTTTTTTGGTGTACAATAAAGAGTATTTGAATTGTATTGTATTGTAAAGCATATATTTTAAGAATTCTAAATAAACTCCTTTTTTTATCTAATGGTACCATCAGCAGCTGTTACAAAATAAACTCTAAAAAATCAAGGAGATATCCCCTTTATTACTCTACCGTAAATGGATAAAAAGTTGCCTATGTGCCTATCTTAAAGTTTATGAAAATCCGTCCAGCAGTTTTAGCGTGAATCATAATCATAAAATTTACGGATTTCTTAAATGTACGGATATAAATTAAATATGGTGTTAATCTAAAAATATACGTTAAAAATAATTTACAAATGTCTTGAAGCACACCAATTTGTGTGTGAACCAGAAATACAATTTCCGTGGAACTATTGATTTTGTCTTGTACGACCGAAACCGAATTTATTAATCAAAGAACCATGTTGAAATGCAAACGTCGAGCCCTTTATTTACATAACTCATTAGGGCTATGGAGTTTCGTTAAATATTCGAAAAGTTTTATTTCGATATTTTCTTGTCGAGATTTGTTTATATAAGCTAAATGAAAGTGGCTTACCCAAGTTAGATTTGTTTGAATTTGAATACAGGCGAACTTACAAAGGTTATTAAGTTACTTATGCCCAATTTACCATAAAATTATTCCTGTTATTCTTCTTTCTTCTATTTATTTATTTATTATGTTGCTTATTATGCAACGCTTGTAAGTATAAACAATACAAGAACCATTTTATATGTGGTAAAACAATGCTGCAGCTATATTTTGTCTGTCGAACGAATGGGTTGCCTAAACGGGAGAAGGACTACGCTCCTATAAAATAGCAGAATAATGCTGTTTTTTTCCGTGTATTGATTGAAGAGAACTGGAGATCTTGTTTACTGGATGATTAACGAACCATTCCATCTTAGTCCTCAGGGGTAACAGCGCATCTGCATTTTGATTCTTGTTCGAGGATAAATGTAAATGTTTATGGGCCACGTGATCCACCTACTACCGGTTGGACTATGTACTCGTTAGTCACACTTGTTCTTTAAAAAAATGAGTTTGCCGTGGGTAACAATATCGCGCCACGCGCAATTAATAACCATTCTCTTTGAATTTTATTTCAGTTGCGATTACTTTATAAGTCACAGCTCTTCTCCCATATAACTACATAAAAATACTTTTAGGTAAAGGTGATGAAGATTAAAATAGGTGATGCAAAGGATCCGTGGGTGTCGTAAAAGGCGACAGAGGGAAACAAATCAACAGACTAAATATTTAAAAAAGACTGTAATTGACATCCTACTTGCCAAGCGCGGCAACTATGGTAAGTATCCCCCTATGAGACAATATATGGAGGGATCTATGTCCAGCAGTGAAATCTCATAGGCCGTAACGGATAATGCAAGGTAACTATACTCCCCGTGCAGTGTCAGCGTAAGAGATTCCACTAGCTTATGTAATCCGTGGGTGTCGTAAGAGGCAACAGAAGGAAACGAAACAGGAGATGGGTAGCAGCATCTTCCTGATGACAACTCAAAACAAATAAATTATGTGGCTGCTTACTTTCTTGCCAACTATGACAAATTATTGCGATGGCTTACTTTCTTGCCAACTATGCCATTTGACGCAAGCTATAGGGAAGGTCTATATTTAGCAGTGAATTTTTGATAGGTCGTGATAGATAGATAGATAGAGCAATATCATAAGCTCAACTTAACTATGACAAATTATTGCAGTTGCTTACTTTCTTGCCAACTATGCCATTTGACGCAAGCTATAATAGGGAAGGTCTATATTTAGCAGTGAATTTTTGATAGGTTGTGATAGATAGATAGATAGAGCAATATCATAAGCTCAAGGTAAAACAAGAATACAAGAGTATTGTTTAAATAGTTTCATAATAATAATGTTTTACAGACCGATTTTTGTTTACAGCGGATAGTCTTAACGGAGACTAGCCATCTGAGGACAGGATTATATGTCTCAAGAGTACGCACAAACACAGGCACACTCCTTATTCCTCAACTCTTGTAAACAATCCGGCCCGACCGGAGAGAGATAAGGCGCAGGACCTGTGGTTTTACGTCCTTTCAGAAGCACGGGGGTGAATCTCGCTAACTTTCTGACTCCGGGCTGCTTCTATAACTTTCTTGACAGTAAAACGCAACAACGGATTTTTGCATTACCCAGTAATCGAAACTAGGACCCCATGATCAGCAACCACGTTAAAGAAATTATATTAAAAATATATTCATTAATGTACATTCAAACTAAGTCATGATCATTTAGAAATATTTTTTTTGTATTCAAATGCAAGGTGGCTTTAATGACAACCTTGTTTGAACAAATTATTTGTTCGTTATAACCACCATTGTAATTCTTTTTCATCCAAGTAAAATAAAAAACTATGAATGATAAAAAATTTAATTTCCGACTGTCTTCTTTTGAAATTTTAAGAGCAAGAACATGATAATTTACATCATTTCATTCGAATATATAACGCAGACATCGTCAAAGC